TTAATGTGATTGTTACAGTCTCTGCTTACACATTATTGTAAGGAGAAGAATTCTTTCATACGTGGTCAAATATATACTTTTTTGGAGGCAGTGTGGAATACTCAGCTCAAAAATATCTTTAAAACAACTTAACTGTATATGAGCTTAGTTGTTTCAGCAAAAGCAAGGGCTGATTGTCATGCGATGTAGAGGACCATTTTCATTATTTTGGCAAGAACAGGGACAGTTTTGTCCTGACGAGCTATTAGATGAATAGCAGAATGTGTCACATGAAAAACCACTGATCTTTAACCCAGCTATCTACTTAACCAAGCCTAGAAATGAATGGTGAATGTGGGAAGAGCAAAGGCCAGTTTGCTGTCATTGCAAATTAGAGAAACTGTTAACATCTGCAGCCAAATGAACTCTGGGAGTTACAGGTACTAGCCAGTAAACTGGTTGAGGGTAGAGAGACTTAGGAGAGGAGTTCAGTAACTGTGTATGGTGTGTGTATCTATCATTACTATTGAAGATTGGAACATCTGTATAAAAAAGACAAAGTTTTCTGGATCTCCCTGTGACTTTGATGAATCCTGTGAATGAACATTAAATATAAGGAGCTCTCCTTTAGTTGATTGCTCTTTATCTTTAAATAGAATTGTAAATACTAAATGAAGAGAAATAATAAATCTATGCTCACTGTTTTATCTTTTTTTTTCCCCAGGAGTCGTCTCGGGGACACTGCTGCATGTACAGTTAATATAAACATTTATACTGAACTCCTAGATGTTTGAAAAACAAATACTGTAAAGATCAGTAACATTTTAAAATGATCAGTTATGGGAATTAATGCTTACAGAAAAACACCATTCTTTCTTGCCCTGCGAGTAGAATCACATTGTCTCCCTACAGTCTTGTTAGCTCATACTAACTGAAATGCAAATTCTTTCCAACTAATTGGACCTCGTTGAACGTACATGTACAGTACATAGTTATATGCATGTAGATTTTTTTTACTAAATTCCTCTGTAATTATTTTCTTGATTAATATCTAAAGCAGAGACGTGGAACAAAAATCTCTTTAAAGAGTTTACATATTATTGAACATTAAGGAGATAGTAACTGTTGCATGTTTTAACAGCTTAATTAATAATACAGAATAATTGGAACAAAAAGAAGAAAATATTTTTTTCAATGTTTAGTCATTTTGAACTATTTGCATTAACCCTTTGACTGAACTAATTAAGGCTTAAACTGTCAGAGTAATGGAATTTAGAAAGAAGTAGGATAAGTTTACATTATATAGCATATTCTGCTGGCTAGATTTTCTTCTTAGCATCACCTGGATTTTCTGTAATCACCTTTCCTATCCTTTCTTGCCATATGCTGCATTTCTGTAGCAGTAGTTTTCAGAGGACAGATGAAATCAACAAATTTTATTTTTAAAAGATTCAGAAAGTCATGCAGATAATGTAGTTTTCTTTGAAAGTAAGTGATAAGTATTACTTAAAATGAAAAGAAAGAAAAAAAATCTTAACACCACATAAAGCATGTAACATTTTCAAAAAACACAAGCAGACAACTGCAACTGCACTCTGTTTTAAGTTCCATTAGAACCTGGATTCTGTAGGCACCTCTTCTATTCAGCATCTGGATATTCCCAGGAGGTGAAAATGTAAAATAATTTCAGAGATCCTTTTATCTGTCAGCACAAATGCCATTGGATAGCAGTAAAATACTTGCAGAACATACTCCTGATTAAAAATCTATTAAAAACAAGACTTTTTTAAATGCTTTTAAAAGGATTTGTTATAAATACCTTTAGAGCCCTTACCTTGACTATAGTATTTCAGATTCTCATATGAGCCAGCCAAAGGGGAGAGAAAATATTCAGTTTGTGCTAGACTTGTACACTAAAGTTGTGGGGGTTTGCTTTTTTATCCTTTTGTTTTCTTTTTTCTACCCTCCCCCCTTTCCCCCCCTCCTTCCTCCCAATCCCCAACCCCATTGCTGTACAGTTAGATGAGGCTTAAACTGCTACTTGAGGAGGTTGGCTTCGGTTGTATTTTTCCTGCTTGGTTACTTTTATATCCTTATTGACTGCTACTTTTCATATCCCTCTTTGAAATTCAGTATTTCTTTTCTTGGTTTTTCTGGGCTGGCATTATTGTGCCAAGCAAGATGCAAGGGAGACACTGTAAATTTAAGGATGACCTGAGCTGGACTAGGGCTGACAGACTAAATTTAGTTTCTTCTCTGTCGTGTTAGTGGGGTAGGGAATATTTTTGAAATATTTTTGAAAATATTCTGAAGCTGGGATGTAAAAGTCACACATTTGATAATTAAATGATAGTCCTCCTTTGATACAGTAATCTGAATGAGCTTAGATTTCTTGTAAGCATTCTGGCTAGAATCTTGTAGCATTCTGGCCAAGATTTCTGCTTGGGAAGACCAGATTTGGATGTATTAGCTAGTCAGCCTAATAACCCTGTACAGACTGTATTGATTTTCTAGGAGAGAGTTTATGAACTAAATAAACTTGGAGTTGGTGTCTTAATAAACTGCTTCTCTCAGTCTGTCACATTTCGTTACTTAGCTCTGCAGTTTAGGGGAAAAAAAGGCTAATTCTGTTACAGATTGTTCACAGCAGGGTCTCCAAATTAGCCCTTTGTTTTGTAATGCCACCTTGCTTGGGCTGGCTTTGAGCACATTTCTCAGTTTTACCCTAATGAGTTGCAACACTGATAATGTGGCTGATGATCTTTCATTGATTTCACTATCACTTGCTTGTCTGGTAATTGATCCGTTGCTGAGCCTCTAGTTAATTATATCGGCTTTGACATGGCCCGGTCCACTGGGAATTTCAAGTCTTGCAGAATAACAGTTTTAATAAAAGAGTCTATTACTGCAGGTGCTTGCTGCTGCACGCCAGTTGATTTTGTGTGTGTTTGTGTGCACGCGCGTGCATGCGTGTGTGCATGGATGTGTGTGTGGGGGTGGTTTTTTTATTCTCTGTGAGAGGAGAGGACTGCAGGACAGGGAAAAGAAGGGGGGGGGTGGTGGGTAAGAGATGGAGATAAAGACTGTGAGCGAGAGCACACAAGAGATGCAGAACGGAGAGGAGGAAGCTTGCTATTGACAGTGTCCTTAAGCCTCCCACAAATAACAGCCATTAGTGGGAAGGTCAGGAGCTGAGCATGCAGCTTGACTGAGGCACTGAGTGCCACTTCAGAAATGAAGAGGCTGGCAAATTTTAGAGGGAGTTTGAGGGGCTAATAGCTAGCTGTAAAGGTACAGCCACTGCTGGTACAATTGACTCCTAAGTGTCATTTTCCCCTCCCCAGTAGAGAATATTTTTATTGACCACAAGTGGACTTAATATATTTTAAAGCAACAGTTCTTGGGGTTCTTCCTTGTTTCTTCTTGGATATTGAATTTGCTGCTTCTGAGACTTTTTTTTTTGTACTTAATGGTGCTGAACTGAAGGAAAGTTTAACAGAAAAGCTTTCAAGAGATGTAGGGTCTAGAGGGGAAGGCACATTTGTGTCAACATAGTGTACATCTTCTCATCTTTTCTCATTGCACACTAATGACACAGAGCTGCCACTGAAGCTCTCTTCTGTTTCTTTTGTTGTTTCAGAGAGTGAGGTTTATTGTTATTCCTGAGTTAAGAAAAGAGCAGTGAGTGGTACATTTGTCCTCCTAAATTTGTAGATTTTATTAGAAGATGAATGTTCCTTATGTTGGAAAGGATACCTTTTTTTAAAAAAAAAAATCTCTCGCCATTTTTTATGAGATTGCATGAATTTTGTTTTATTTATGAAGTTTTTTTGCAGAGTTATGATTTCTTTTCTGTATGTAAAGGATGAAGTGGGTAAGAGAATTTTTCAAATAAGATTAATTTTAAAAAGCTTTTGTAATTAAGAACAGTATTGCAATAGTATTATTTAACTTGATGTATAGTACTGTACCTTAAGTACAGGAGATCTTAAAGGGAAAACACTGTTTCTTTTGCATTACTTTTTAGCTGTGTGGGACCGGTTTCTTTTCTGCTGTGGTTAATTTCTTTGTTCTTTACGATTTGAAAGGTGTATTGTATCTGCTTCAACCAGCTTCTTAAAAAAAAAAAAAAACCCACACCAAAAAACTACTTTTGATCTTTTGGGGGAGGGAAAGGAAGGGCTAGATTTGTCATTTTTTCCGTCCTTTCTTGCTCTCGATGCTGCTTAAGACTCTTAGCAGTGGGCAAGAAGAGAGAGGGGTGTGAGAGATGAAATGTGTGTGTGACTTTCTAGTTTTATTTCAAAAGAAGTTGGATCATGTCTTTTTTCCCCTCTTTGGTAAGAGTTTCTTTTGGGATGGAAACTGACTTCAGCAATTCTTTTCTGACTAATATTTAGAAAATAAGCAGGCCAACTTTTATGTTTTACTTCTAAGTTAATATTGACTGTATTTAATTGCTTTGCTTCTTTGCTTTTCCTTTGTTTTTTTTCTCTTTTCTTTTTTTTTTTTTAGATTTGCTAATTCTGTGTGGTAGGCAAGTGTCAGATATAACATGCTGTACTTGACAGCATTGTTGAGAAAAAACAGAGAAAGACAAGGAAAGGGCCACAGCTTTTTTTTCCTCCCAATTCACTCTAATCATTGTGCTACTTAGAGAGACTGTGCGTGTGTGTGTGTGTATCTGTGTATCTGTAGACTGAAGGGTTAGTGCAGGATGTCATTTGGTGCCTGACAGTGGAGCAGTGCAGTTGACTCTTTGCTCTGCTATCCAATGACATCCAGTGGCTGAGAGTTTGAAGCTGATGGTTGGGTCTCCTTAGTGCTGCATACACACCTGACAGGCAGCTGTTAAACTGAGCAAAGGCAAGCTTGGGGAGTCACAATCTATGCATAAATGATAGGGGTCTCTCTGCTGAAGGTGCGAAAGAAGCTCTGACCTTCTCCCCTGAATCCCCCCTTCCCAAATGAAATGCACAGTGCAGCTAGCTTCTTAACTACACTACACTCCTGCTACTGGCTGCCAAGAGGCTCAAAAAATCCACCTTCACTTTTCAGTCAGAAGAGGCAGAAGTGGATGTGAGAGACAGACACACACAGAGACACAGAGAGCGAAAGAGGGCAAGAGACTTGACTTTAAGAGACTCCTGCACTGACAACTCCATGCAGTTCGGAACAAGAACGGCAGCGACCGACTCTGGTTTCATGGGGACATGGCAGAACACTGACACTAACCTCTTATTCAGAATGTCCCAACAGGTACGTTACTTTTCGTTTATTTTAAAACATGGAATTTTTGTGCTTTTTTCCCCCCTCCTTTTTCTCTTTCTTTCCACGTTTCATTTTTGTTTCATTCATCACTACATAGTTAGCCTCTGAACTGTCATAACTATGTCATTGGAATGTGCATGGTTACTTCATTTCTTCCCTAAGGGCTCCTTTTTAAAAGAAGGAAAAAATACTAAAGCTTTAAGTAAAAGCAGAGCATTTTGTTTTAAAGTTTCCAAATGGAGCTTTGCTCCTAGTAAGATTGTTTTTCTTTCTTTGCTTTTGTTTTGTTCCAGCCTTTTTCCCTTTGCTATCCCCCCCCCGTCCCATAAATAAAAGTATCTGCTATCCCAGGAAAACTCCTTTTTCTTCCTGAGTGCATAAGCCCCCAAAATCAAACTGGTACAAAATTTAGGGGGCCCCTCAGAACGGCATAATTGACTTCATGTGGCAGAACACAGTTTTATTCAGAGGGAAGGAGCTACGAGCCGTCCTGCTGGAGCTGCTGCCAGCACGGAGCTGAGGGTCGTTAGAGGAGACAGTTTCAGTCCTCGGGTCTCTCTTCTCCCGCTCCCTCTCCCCGCTTGCTCCCTCTCTCGCTCCCCCTCTCTCTGCGGAGCTGAGCCTTGGCGTCCTCCCCAGAGCTGCTCCTTCACCGGGGGCCGCGTTTAAGGCAGCTTGGTATGCCGGTTCTGACGGGAAAGCGAAAATGTTACTGCAAGGCCAGTTATAACTGATAATTAATCACAGGAGCCAGTGTCTCTGTACCATGCACTTGGTGATACGCGCCTTGTGTGTTACTGTAAATTTTGCACAATTGCTTGGCTCTTCTGGCCGAAGGGAAAGGGAAAAGGGAATTAAAAATATGGGGGGGAAAAAAAAGGGAGAGGGAAAAAAAAGAGAAAAGAGACGGACAAACTTTCAGCTTGGATGGGGCTCAAGCAGGGGAGGGAAGTTCAACCTGGAGGTTTTTAACAGGGTGACTCCCTACCAAGAGACGTTTTACCCTTCTGAAAACTACTTTCCAATTATGGTCTGACACTGATGGATAATAATTGAAATATTGTGCTAGCCAGAAGAGGAGTTAGTAAATTTGTGTAGTAATATTTGACTTTCTTTTAATGTTGGACATGAAATTGAATTAATTCATTTACCTGAGAGGCATTGTACTGTAAGAAAAGAGAGGGAAAGTAAATGGGTTTTTGTAGTTTAAAGGAACAAAGCATGCCTGAATATTGACCATACAACAATATTTTAATTTTAAAAAAAACTTTAAAGCAAAAAAAATACAACTCCAAGGCATATGGTTATTAACCAATAGCGGTTGTCTATGGGTGGCCATTTAAGCAGTATAGCTCAGGACAGGATGAAGGCATTTGAATAAGGAATATTTTGATATATCCTGTAGAGGGACCCTGATTACTGCTGATACAGTATGCTGGTATAGAATGTAATCAACGTAAGGCAAATAAGCAACTCTGTTCAATTTCCCATTCTTGAAAGTAAAAAAGTTCATTTCCTGGTAGAGATGCACATTTCAAAAATACTGCCTGGCACTAGGAAGTATGAATTGCTACTGCGCTGCTTACAAACACTGTCAGCTCTATGCCTGTCTGTGATACATAACATGTTTGGTTACACTGATATTAGGCAATGGTATGAAGAGCAGTAATTCTAATTACCTGCTGTATTCTTTTAGCAAGAAGTTGGATTAAATTTTAGTTGTGGAGGAAAGGTTCTTTGCATTTCAGCCACAAAAGGATAACATAACTAGATCCGGATAACAATCAATTGATAAATGACGATTGAACCACATAGATAGTACTAGATTGCCTGTTTAGTATTAGATCTTTTTCAACAGATTTAGACTGTGTGGTCTCTGGAAAACTAGAAAATGTTTAACACTGACAAAGAAAGGAAACAAAACTAAATAGAAGAGCATCACAATGTGTAAGGGGGGGGACAAATAATTTGAGACAACTTGCTTATTAAACTAAACCAAACATGTGTGCACTCAAGCTAGGCTATTTGGTTGCTATTTTTCTTTTTAAATATTTTTACGTGGTAATTATTGAATAATAACTGGATTTTGTACATTATTGAACATGCATGCCCATGTTGTACTCTGTATAGAAAGTGAGAAGTAAAGCACTAATGAGTAAATGTGTGGTTGGTGCTGCATCAGTGTGAATTGGCATACATACACAGTAGCACTGAAAAGGTGGTAACATCGAACAGATTTATTTCTTAAAAGTCTGCTCTTGACACATTTGCGTACTTGTTAATCCCCTTGTCATATTTTGTTTGTTTGTTTATCATGTGCTAAACATATCCAGTGCAAATATGCTTTCATCATGCTTTTAAGAGGAGGGTAAGTTATTTTGCTAAATGCATTTCTCTCCTCTTTAATGACATTTTGTCTTATATTTCTGATTTGCTGGGGCTTTTATAACTTGCTGGCTTGCACATACAGTGTGCAAGTGCAGTTGCAAATTTGTGTCTAAATTCCAGTGTTTCTTTGTAATTTACTAAAATTTTGAATGTTGTTTTCTGTTATCTATTTTTATCCATTTGCTTGTTAATTATTTTCAGTCCATCTTCTGGAAATGTAAGTATTTTTACAACTTTTCCTATGCTTTAAGAGAAATTGTTTTCACGAGTACGAATAACATGAAGTTATGAAATGTACATAAGTTGCAAGCAAAGTTTGGCATGGTTTGAAAGAACAGTTTAGTGAAACTTTTCCAGCTATACACAGTATTGCTAGGGACATTTCTCTTTTAAATTTCTAAGTGTAGTGCTGCTTTTCCACATATTTTTAGAAGCAAACAAACTCTGAGCCCCATCAGTTTTCCTTGGAACTGTAACTTAATCTCAAACAGGTTTTTAGTGGAAAAATTGAAGCATAGAAAGAAGATTTATTTAAAACAAAACAAAACCTTTCAATCTCTCCCTCCTCTTACCTCTCAACTCACACTGCACTGCTATTTGCAGACCATAGAAGTGAATAACTTTCCTCAGAATAAAAACAAAAGCGACTGCATTGTGATATGTGTCTTAGAAAAATTAGGATTGATTGTACAAGTTTGGGCTATTAATAGCAAGTATGATGATAGTTATTTTTTTGACTATTTTCTTTCACAAATGGGAACACAAAAAAATGATATCTCCACATTCCAGAGCAAATTTTTTTTTGGTGGGGTGAGAGGGGAAGAGGAATACTATACTAAATTACCTGTGAGAAGTTTATGACATGGCCACTTGACTGCATTGTTTTGCCTATGTACCTTTTGTCCATGTAAAAGTCTGTGGTTTGCTTGAAAGGGGTCATCCCTTCTGTATACAGAAGAATGTCTGATAACCTCAAAGGGCGTAAATCTTAACTTTTAAAAAGGAGTGCTTCTTTGGGTCACTTTGATCAGTGACAGGTCGAGAATGAGCAGAAACCCTTGGCTTCTTTTCCATGCTCATCTGGTTGGGTCCAGGGCACGCACTGCCCATTCTAGTTCTGGCAAGGAGTTGTTAACAACAGAAAAGAAGGTCTGGGTTTGATCGATTGAAAAAAAAAAAACCAAAAAAAAAACCCAACAAAAAAACCAGGCTTCTGTGATTGTCTGCTTTAATAAATGTTTTGTGCATTTGTCAGAATAAGAAATGCCATTTTTCTTCATCCTGTTACCTTAAGGGCTGTAATGTTCTAAAATACTTAAAAGTCATTTCAGAAATGAGACTGTAAGAGAAATGGCTGTAACCCACAGTGACACAAAATGCCATAGCCATCCACCTTTTTGTTGAGCAAGAAGTATGTTTAATCCATTTCAGATAAAAAGGTAATAGCCTTTCCAGAAGCTATTTTCAACATGAGAGTGAAAAAACAGTATACAGAATTATAAATGGATCTGTGCATCATTATATAGTAATTTAGGATTCACTCAATGATGTAACAAAATTAACAACATAATTTCATTGTGTAACTGTATCTTATTAAAGAACAACTGTCTGACATTCTCTTACAGTTGCTTTATTTAACTTCATGCAAATATTATTAGTAGTGACATTTCTCTATTGTACATTAGATTCTCTCATTAGCATGATGTGTTAGTTATCACCAGAGAAATCACTTCTAGATAGGTGAGCGAGAAGCCAAGAAAACGAAAAATTAAATCAATGATGTATATTAATATAGACGCATCTGTTCACAAGAGATATGGTACAGTAAATTCAACTTTTTTTCTTTGCATAAATGCATGCTTATTCCAAGGAAAACTAAATAATACTTATAATATATGAAGTATGTGCTTATATTACTAGAAGTATTAAATTGCATACAATGTGCACTGCCTGTTTTGAGCTGTGCTTGTATTGCATCTGATAGTTCCTAGCATTGATGTAGACATAGGCACATAAACTGTTTATTGAACCTGTATTTAAAAATAGGAGAGTAGTCTAATGCCTAATGGATTGAAGGTGAAAGCTTTTTAAATGTTTCTGGGTTGCTGGTCATAGAGGTTGTATGCAATTTTAACGTTTATTAAGTAATTAACTGTTTTACTGTAGCATATAACTATGAACATGTGAAAAGAGTTCAAACTTAATTTGACAACAGGCTGTAATGCCATACATTGATTTACTATGAACATTTTGAGAGAAAGACTGGCATTGGTAAAATGCATTTCATAGTTTAAAGTAGTTAACAATCACCTTTGTAAGTAAGCATCAGCAAATATAATAAACTTATATCTATATATATATATTTATCACACCGCTTTAAAGATGAGTTGCGCCCTGGTGAGGTTTTCTCTTTTTTTTTTATGCTGTTCATGGTTAAGTTTGTGTGCTAATATGAATTTAGAAGCTTTATTGGTTGCACTGTCTTATTTCAGATGCTTGCTTTAATTTTGTTGGGTATTTTGGTAAAGCATGGTTTAAATGTGTGCTTGTCCTTTTATCAAATCAAAAATATTTGCTTCAAGCATTTTTTGCTGCTTCCA